CCCAAGGCTGGGCTTCAATCCCAGACAGCAGGACATTGATCTCCAAGGGCTGTTTTGGCTCCAGAGCTCTGTTTATCCAGCCTGTCCCGGGTGCTGCAGGGGGAGAATCCTCCCCCTTGGCCTCTCCTTTGCATCTCCTGCTTTTCCTGCTGCTGTTTTTCCCCTTTCCTCCCCCTCCCCTCCGAGGCTGGAGCCCCCTGACCCCCTCTCCTGTCTCCCTGCAGGACGCTCAGCCCCAGAGCAAGAAGCTGAGGATGGAGAGCTGGGAGAGGAGTGTGGGCAAACTCAACAGCAAGGCCCAGCTGGCTGGGCTGGTGGCCCTGAGGAAGCAGAAGGTGGATCCAGCCCTGGAAAACGGGATGAAGAGCCAAGGCACCGGTACCTGCCCCGGGCTGGGCCCTCAGGGGGGGCTCTGGCAGCTCCCAAGGGGGGTTTGATTCTGTTTTCAGAGCCTGGAGTGAAGCTCTTGGTGGGAGAACTGGGGGCTGTCCGTGCTTCCAAGGGTTTTCCTGGCTCCTTCCAGGCTCCTGGCGCCGAGCCACGGCCTTGGGGGCTGATTGTTGGGGCACAGGTGGGACCCTGGGAGCGTCACAACAGCGGGATAGGGCTGGGAAAGCAGGAGGGTTGCTTTGGTTTGGGGGCCTGCTGATAAATCCTGGGAAACCGGGGGAGTTGGGAAGCTTTTGGGGGCAGAAAACAGGCTGAGAGGCTTCCCAGCACCCAGAGAGCCAGAGGATCCCTGGATTTGGGGAGGGATGGGGTGGATTCATTGGAGCTGGGCTGGGTGATCCTGAGCCTTTGGCTTCGGGAGTCCCTGTGGGGGATCCCTGAGGGGGGATCAGCGTTCTGAGGGATTCCTGAGGGAGATCAGCTCTCTGTGGGATTCCTGAGGGGAGATTTGGGGGATCCCTGAGGGGGGATCAGCTCTTGGGAGAATCCTTGAGGGGAGATTTGGGGGATCTCTGATGGGAGATCAGCTCTGTGGGATCCCTGAGGGGGGATCAGCTCTTGGGGGGATCCCTGAGGGGGGATCAGCTCTCTGGAGGATCCCTGGGGAAGGACAGGTCTTGGAGTTGTCCCATTTATTCCCACATTTTCCCAGCCAC